TGGCCACAGTTCTCCCAAATTATTGTTACCAGCAAGTGATATCCAGATAAGTCATGGATAGATGGTCAAGAAACAAAATCCTTTTGTAGCATGATGGGAAAGATCCTTCAATGCTGCAAAATTCTCAAGACCGGGTACTAAAGATTCTATGCAAGTTATCTGACTTGACCAAGCAACTTAAAATCAGATTTCAAAGTTATATGTGAGTCTTCTCCATTTGAAATGGGGGGGGGGAAAAAACCACAGATGACCTTTTTATGAATCCCTTTGCAAAATATGCATCAGTAAGCTGATATTCTATAATCCACCACTGCATATAATTAATACATTTTTTATATGTGTGACTTCAGGTCGGTTTTTGACTCATGGCAACTGCCCGGTCTAGTCCCTGCAGTTGTTGTTTTTTTTTGGCAAGACTTCAGAAGTGGTTTGTCATTGTCTGCTTCTTATGGATGAGACAGAGTGAGTGGCCCGAAGCCACCCAGCTGGCTTTGTGCCTAAGGCAGGACTAGAACTCACGGTCTCCTGGTTTCTAGCCTGGTGCCTTAACCATTACACCAAACTGGCTCATAATTATGTGTTCTATAAAACTTTGAATCTTTGTGCAAAAACTAATGGACTGACAGCTTAATCTTATGTTTTTTTTATTCAGAAACAGGCCCTATTAGCTTTAGTTTCATGTGCTTCAGTCCCTTATACCTTTACTTGGAAGCAAGCTTCCTAGAGTTCAGTCACACTTACTTATCAATCAGGATCTAGCTAGGCTGTATGTATGTTCCTTGTTTCAGGCTTAACAGGATCCACCCACTTGGATTGGTTTATGTCTCTTCAATTTCATTAGAGCACTACAACCACCAAGTCTTTAAAATGCTGGTTTCTACTGTAAAACCCTTGATGACTTGGCACCTAGGTATCTACAGGATGGCCTGCTCCAATCTGCACTGGTCTGACCTATTAGATCATTTAGGGGGAAAATATTCCTAGTGTCCCATCATCAGGAAATAAAGGGGCTAAAACAAGGAGGCCCTGCTTTTTGGTGGCAAGCCCAATCCTCTGGAACAGCCTCAAGCTGGTACCATCCCTGGGTGATTTCAGGAAGATATTGAAGATGGAGTTTCAGAGAGCTTTTTAACCTGTCCAGTGCAGCTTTTATTTTTGTACTAGATAACCTGTGACCTGTTGGAACATTGTTTCAGAGATATTTTCTTATCTAAACAGAGAAACAGAATGACCAAGGGCAAAAAAGCAGTGGGAGTATAAGCGACTTCAACTTGCTGCCGGCTTCCCCACTGACTTTGCTTGTGGGAAGCTGGCAGGGAGCATCAGAAATCTTCCTCCCTCCCTTCCGTCTCACATATAATATAGGCTTGTGCCATTTGCCCTCCCCTCACAAGAGCCCTGGTGAGGCCTCCTCCTCAGCTGACCAGTGGAACTGCCTGTCACTTTGCTGGGGGAAGGTGGAACAAAGGGAGCTGTGGACCATGAGGAAAACTGTACCCCTGCTCCCCATTCTAGTATGTCCCTAAGGGCTCCCTCCCTCAAGGGAGGAAGAGGGCTCACCTGTCAACCACAAGCACCCCCAAGCCAGCCCTACCTCACTAGCAAGCATCCAAGTCGCTCCCTCATCCTTCCCTCAACCCCCACAGCTGTTAAGAGATTTCAGATTTCGGCCTCATTTCCAAAACAGCCAATCACCATGCACCCGTCGGGGCTTGCCACCAGCCAATTGGGTGCAGGGGACAGAGGAAGGTGGGAAAGAGGTCAGGGATACACCCATGATGATCACATGACCTGGGCTGACCTCAGCAGTGCAGCAACACAGCAGTGCTGAAGCAGCCATAAATTTCCCAAATTTCAATTCCACAGGAATCATGGATCCCGGATTTTGGACACATTCTTTAAGTTAGCCCATTTGAGGTAACTTGGTCCAAAAATTGTTGCCCTGTGACGCACCGTTTCGCCAGTTGAAGGTTACAGACATAAGAGTTTTAGTAGTATATAGATTGTTCTTATTAAGCTGTTGTGAAACTTTTCTTTATGTTTTTAAACTTATCATGGTAGTAGCCACTGAGAGTTCAGTTGATTGTGGTGGGATACAAATGCAGTAAAATAAGTCAAACTTAAAATGCCAATTCTAGTTCTGTTATGTTCAACATGAGGGGCCTTCTCCACAGGGCCATAAAGAATCATACACTCAGATTGCACAAACAGATTCTTTTAAAAAACTCAGAACTGTGTTTCTTTTAAAAATAACATTAGTTTGTTTTTTCTGGAAGCAACTTTAGAGGCAAAGAATGGAAATGTGAAAATGTGTATTTTTAAAAACATTAAAACTCAGCTCTATTTTGACAGGTGGAAAACCTTAACCAGGGCTGCTATTGGAGAAGGTAGTTGAAGGCAACCATATTATGCAGCAGGAGAAAGTAATGGAACTTGATTCTGAAAAAAAATGTACCTAATTGGTCTGTAGGGAAACTTCAGAGCTGTCTACACAAAATTTTGTTTGCACTTTTCTGTA